GCGGGGGGGTCGGGGGGGGTATGTTGAGCTTGGTGGCCGCCGCTTTAACCGCTTGAATCGGAACCTCCGGCGTGATCAGAAGCTTCGATTCTGAGTCGGAGAGGTAGAACTCGAACTCCTCAGCCGTATAAGCCGGGTTCAGCGGCGCCGCCGTTGCTCGGCACCGAATCACCGCCAAAAACATCACGACAAGCTACAGAAACAAACACAATCTTATTTAATTTTTTTTATATGAAAAACTTGAATGGTTCCCGAGAAAGTTGAGGAAGGTGAATGGAAAAGAAAATGTTGCAATACAATACCTCAACGGTGTTGGGGAAGGTGAGCGCGACGGTGTCGTTTGGGCCAATTCCAGAGGCGATTAAGTGAGAGGCGGCGTGATCGACGAGCTCCTGCAGTCGAGCGTGGGTCAAATCGAATTTTCCAGAAACGGAAAGCGCACGGCGGTTCGGAAATTCCGAGGCCACCTTCTTCAACAAACCTGTTAGAGTTTGATTTTCCATTTTTTCAACAAGAGAAAATTTTGAGAAAAATAAATAATGGTTTGAGGAGGCAGAAGAAATAATTTTTTTTTTTTTTTGGTCTGAAGGAGGCAGAAGAAATAATGGTTTGAGAAGGAAGAAGAAATGAGGTTTGAATTTATAGGATTGTGGAGAGGTTGGGTGGGGTTGGGTGGGATGTGGTGGCGGCAGGAACCGGGAAGATGACAGTAGACACGTGTCGCACTGACGACGGTCAGTTTGAGTGTGCCGCACCTCGAGAGGTGCAGTTCCACGTATCTTCACCGTGTCGTTTTGCATGACACGTCATCGAGTTGCTGGAGTGGGAGACGTGTTTGGGCCCACCGATGGGATCGTTTAGGAGTGACAATGGGTGAAATCGGGATGGATATACCACTATAGAGAAATTTGGTATCCTATTCAAATAATGGATTCAAAAATTTTGATTTTTCTTAAAAATAAGGAATTTTTAAATCTATTTTTAATATTTAAAAATTTGTTTAGTATGCAACTTGAAAAATATTTTCAAATATTAAAAATTTGAGAACTTGCGGATTGTTAAAAAAAACTGAAAAAACATATATATTTTCTGGTTTTAATAATTATGGTGTTTTTGAGTTGTTTTTGAGTTTGAGTTTTTAAAAATAGAGCTACCAAACATGTTTTCTTTGTTTTGGACTGAAATTCTGTTTTTGAGTTTAAAAAGTTAGATTCAAGTTGAATATCAAACAGACCCTAACATTCCCATACCCGTTAAGCTTTTTTTTCCATCTTGCCTTCATAATTGCAATATTCATATCGAGGATTCCTCATTCTCATATTCATTGGGAAATGGGTTCTCCAACCCATCTCATTATAAAAGAAAAAATCACTAAAAAAAGAAATAAAACAAGATAATATAAAAAAACCAATATATAACTACTTTGTTGAAGCAAAAAAAAGTACTAAGGCAAGATAATGAATATATATATATATATATAATATATATATACTTATAAGACAATATAAGAATGTTTATATATGTATTGAAACTTAACTAAATAAATAAGTAGTGTAGCTTAAGATTTGTATAAATTATATAAATATATACCATAATATTAGGAAATATAAAATTTAGTCAGCACAATCACTTCAATATCATATTTATATATACTATAATATATATATATATTTATATATTTATAGAGAGATTCTTCAAATAATTTTATTTGAGGAACACCCTTTAAGGTTCTCTGTGATTTTTTTTTCAACGATCCAAACCGTCTATTTTTAAAGTCTAAATTTAGAGATCTTCCTTGCAAAAAATTAGACTAATTGGAAACTGTTTCGACATCTAATTGTGTCCTACAAAATCAATAAATACGATGTTTCAAGAAAGTACTAAAATTTGAATAATTAATTGAGTGGTCAAATGATATCGGATTCAAGTTATTTTTTATGTAGAAATAATCTTTGAATGAATATCTACAAAATAAATGTTTGGATTAATGAAATACAATACGGAATGGGTCCTATAGATGTTTAGATATATATATATTCTAAACAGGGAGAGTTCGGGTCTGGAATTAAAATACAATCCTCACCTTGCCCCGCCCTTCCTTGGACACCATACCCAAAAAATTCTCTATATCCGTCCTTATACCCATTTTTTTTTATAGAGATTTTCTATTTAAACCTCGCACTTCTTTTTGTTCATCCCAATACTTAAATCATTAAGCTGTAAGTTTTATTATTGTGTAAAAAGATAAAAAAATGTCATCCAACTTAATACTTAATCCTAGTACATCTATACACACATCCCACCACTCTCCATATTAAGTTTTAGAAAAATATAAACTCCTCTACATCATATTGCCAAATTATTCTTCACTTTTAAAGACGTAGAACATTGACGAGCCTACCTCTTTAAAATCTGCATGGGAGTTGATGGAAAAGTTCGTTGATTGTTTGGCTGTAATGATCTTATTATCTTCCCTTTGTTGATTGTTTGGCTATTGATTGTTATTTATTTATTTATTTATTTCTTTTGCACTCTTGGTTATTAATTGCTTGGTTGTTTTTATTTTTTATTTAAAATTTATACCTGATGTTTTGGTTCTAGAATGTATTTGAATTACAGAACTTGTAGGGTGCTTGTGATGGAATCGGTGGAGGTATTTGCTATTGCATTTGTCTTGGTTTTGTTTACAACATGCTATGGGACCAACTCTATAACGAACAACTTCCAATGGCTTCCCGAACATTCTCTTTTATACATTGCTATTGCATTTGTATTGGTTTTGTTTATAACATGATATGAGACGTGATAATAAGAAAACCAATGGCTTCTTGACCATTATGTTTTAATTATCACATTTAATTGGAGTGCAGAAACATGATAATAAGAAAACCAATTGGACCCAAGACAGAATTAAAAGGCGTACAAGATATTGCAACTAAACAAGATCCAAAATTGTTTGTAATTTGTTTCTCAGGAAGAAATATGGGATGAACTACGAGAAGTGTAAGATTTAAATAAAAAATCTATTTTTCTATCTTTCATACTTGAGTTATTGGAGTCAAATTCCTACAAAGACCTTTACCCGCAAAGAAAATTGTCATCTCTAAATTTGGTAGGATACATTGAAGGCGGATGGAGAGTCCGAAAGGGTCGTTGGGTTATGAGTTCGCTGGTGTTGTGGGCCAGCCCATAAGACATACGTGATGCTTCAGAACTCTATCAAGTGTTTTACGTTAATTTTGCTTCTATCTCTTTTTCTTAATCTTGATGCTCCAATACGTATTTGACTCAAATTTGGTGTTTTCGAGTTTTGAGACGGTCGTGGTAGGGCTCACGCATCTCTTGTGGTCCAAGACTCGCCCATTTGGGCTTTTGAATTAAATTCAACCACATATTTGGGTTCGGAAATGAAGGAAAAATTATACAGTGTACAAAAATTGTGGCTCATTATATTTGACCGACGTACAGGATTTGGTGTTATAATTTTTATTTATTATTTATTATTTTATAAGATCCAATATAGGTTTCGCCCCGAGGATGCGGGAACATGAACAAAAGACCGTAGGAGTTGGGACCAGCCCTCGCTTCGCTCATGCGTAACCGCGTGAAGCAAGCGTGGAATATCCGAGTTGAGGGCAACCTTATGTTCCAAATGTCCAAAAGCTTAAAGCCGTCAAACCAGAATTCAACTACACTGGAATGGATGGTACAAAGTCCTCCAGCTTTTCATACTTTTGGAGTAACTTTCAGCTATCAAGGAAACCGTGAAGTAAAAGAAGAAAAGATAGACCACTAATACTAAGAACCTAATAGAACAGGCAATGCCCATGCCTTTCTTGGTTGGACCAGCCCACCGTCGATTTACGTCTTCCTGAATTGGGAGAGCAAGCACAAGTCTCTTTTTATTTTATTTTTTTATACCCTTCATTGGAACTTTAAAAATTCTTCATAGTGAACGGGAGCTACTAGATTTGTATTTGTTGAATCTTCCTTACCAAGACCCCGAATGGGAATTTTTTTTTGGGTATTTAACTGACATACAAAAAATGATACAAACTATGTCTTGCTAATATCAAGATTTTTTTTCCAAGATTCAATTTTAAGAATAGGGAAAACTTTACCCCCAAACCCTTTTAACAAATTCGTGCAGTTCATAGATCTTCAATGAAAATAAATCAGATGAGTTCAGCAACAACAAAAAAAAGGTCTGGCACCGCAAAAATTTCTATCAAACAAGTACAGGGTCAAGTGTCTCATGGTCTCTGTTGATGCAGAAAAATGGTTCGGCACTTTCCCGCGCAACTTAGTGATTTTGTCTCTTCGGTACCTGATGTCCTCGGTAAGGTGTGCGATCTGTAAGATAGCAAACACACGGTAAATCCTAGGGCACCGGTGTGGTACCGGCCGAAGGCTCTCTGATGCTTTAGTAAGTACATATTTAGTAAGTTTGAACTACAGATCGATAGGCAGTATGCCGTAAGTTCTGATTGATTACCTTCAAGCTGGGATGAATGTCCTCTTTTATAGGCCTTGGGAGGTGTGCAATTTGTTTAGAGTTTCGATGTGGGACTCTGGGCGTCAGTTGTGAGGTTGCCACGCGTCAGAGGGGGCGAGGTTGCCCTAATGTTGCGATCGGGAGGGTTGTTACCGAAGAGGGGGGCCGGGG